TGTTGCTGTCCTTGATGATGATGATGATGATGATGATGATGATGATGATGATGATGATATTGCAACCTTATCAGTATTATCAAAAATCGAATGCTGATCTGGGCGACGGCTAAAAACACAAGCTCCTGCCTGACTGCTGACTCCTTTATTTTTATGCCACACCCCTTTCCACTGTTTGTGGTCCCTTTTAAAGCAGAACCATCATTGTAATGGTAACGGGCTAGTCACTTTTATTTTCTTTTTGACAAGATTACTTTCCTAAAGAGAGCCATTCGTAGGTTTGAACAGAGCGTGGGATGCATCGCAAATCTTGACTATATTCAAATAAGTAGCGCATAAAATTGTTGGTTCGGTTCAAGCACATACCCGATTCCTTCATGCTTGATTTTTAAACCGCAAGCCGTATCGTTCCCTTCCCCTGTGCCAATTATCCCTTCCAGAGTTGGTTACAAACGCGATCAATGCTGGTGACGACGAAGTGCTTCTCGTAATCGCCCAAACACTCGGGGGGTTTTCAGAGTTGGTTGGTGGTAAGGACCATGCGTCCTGCTTGTTGGTGAGTGTTAGGTCGTTGTTGACTGATTGTACTCTCGGGATTATCACAACATACCCCTTCCGTTATTGCTTTTATTATTATTATTATTATTATTATTATTATTGTTATTATTATTGCGATTACCATTATTTTCCTTCATAATAGCAGTAACAGTAACGTAGGCAACGTTGGACCACACTCAATTGATCGTGAAGTTGCTGTGTTTTCTTCTACAGCTGCTTCGCGGTCATACAAAGCAGTGATTTGCGCTCCGGAATAAAAACTTAACGTCCGTTCGTCATAAGCTACGTTTGCTTCGGTCAATAACCCTGTCACCTTGATACTGGTCGGTCCGCCAACAGTCGGGTAGCGCACTGCTTACTGGTCTACTGGTAGTAGACTTGATCTGTGCACGCAGAAGGCAGACGAAGACTTTCGTTGTCCATCCGTCGACGTCTCTGTAGGATTGTTCACAAGTTGTAGAAATGTCGGAGTGACACTGTTGAGGGACGCTCAGTAGTCCTAGGAATAGGCAAGCTCGGTAGCAATCTCTAGATGTTGATGGTTAGGTTGCATACTTGGTATCCCAGGTCGGAGGCCATAACGAGTGTGAAAGTCCTGGCCGGGAGATGACTCATCTTGACTTTTCCTTGGCATTCACCACTGTGAGCTCAGCCGCTTCCTCTTTACCTCTTTGTTGATTTAACAGCCGATTCTGGAGAAGATAATCAGCTGTGTGGAGGAGGTTGTGGTCGCACAAGCTGCTTGTGATGCACTCGTGGAGATTATTCCCAAACTGCCGATGGAGGTCATTCAAGAGAAGTGCGTAGGCATGATACGGAGGATCCTAGAGGGTAAGTTATATGATTTTTGGCTGCACGATGCTCTCTCGTCATTGCCGTTTGGTCGCCTTGAATCTGTCATTGTCACTCGTTTTTTTGGAAGACTATTTTTGATCTTTGGTTTCATAAGAAAGAAGGACACTCATTGCGCGAATGCGACATAAGGTCCCGGAGAAAATTTTCACATCTTCGAATGACTGACTGTCGCCTCAGAGCACAGCGATGCCAACGGATGGAATAACGATTACGTCTCAGCTCAAATCCTTGTCTGATTCTTCCAAGCCAACTTTTTCAGCAGAAGCACCACCGCCCAAAACGGATACAACAAATTCATGTACAGTGCATTGTATTCAAAGTGTGTCTAACAACAGCATTCTGAAAATCCTGACATCTTTTGGGCACAACATTGGCAACTGACGTTCAGCGAAGGCTCGAACGTGATTGGCCATTGGGTCCACATTTTCGGCCAATCAGGGCTCGTTCTGATGCTGGACTGACCAGTGGCCTGATCTTTTGCCCAATCACGCACGAGTTGGGCCCGATTGACTCGCCTACAAGCATAAGGCTTGGGCTTGTCCCCACCTGGTGTAGCAGCTTTCGGACAGTGTTTGTCGGATAACGACTCTGTCATCGGCTTGCTCGACACATAGCATTTCAGCCCCAAATGTGTCAGAGACTAGAGGGAAGTCTTCAATGATCAGATCCATATCCAGCGGTTTCTCTCATTCAAAATTAGCAAAAAAAAACGAGCAACCCAACTCACGAATCATTTGTTCATAAAAGCATCGGTTAACTGAAAATTGGCTTTGGGGCAGCAGTGTTGTGACTTGTTTCCTTAAAGGAGCCTCCCTTGTGTCTCGTCTAGTCAGAATGTTCCTACTCATCTGCCTACATTATTAGAGTCCTTCATCAAAATTATCAATTAAAGTTGGTCTGGACCACTCAATATGTGCTTCCTATGGATAAACATGTCGATCATGTGGTTCTCCACGTTGTTTTTGACTGAGCTGGATGCCTGACGAGAACAATCTGGATCGTACCTCTGAGTTGCCAAATGACGTCAACTTTTATCTCGAGGTGCGGTGAAAAATGCGTTTCTGACGTACTTTCGAGTTAATGTGTGAAAATGGGGCAGCTCTCATTTCAAGCAGCACTACAAAATGGAGTCAAAATTTCACACGTAAATTTTTTTGTCGCCTAGTTTGACTGAACTGAGTGGGACACATATTTTGCAGTTCCAAGGTGGACTTCAAGCATTTATGCTGAAAGTGTAAAAGTGGAAGGTGGCCGATTGGAGAAGGCGGTGGAATATCCTTTCAACGACTCAAGTTCGAACCCCCGACAGGTGCTTTCAGGTTTGCCCCAACCCCCGTCCCGATAGTCTGTACATATGGTTCAGAGATTCGAAACCAGACCTACATGCATACAGTTTTTTCTGTGAGAGATGAAATAAAACTGTGATTAGTGTGAGCACATAAGGGCGATCCATCAGGTTCCTCGTAAAAGAAAACCGACGTTATATTCCTAATCTCATCGAGATTTAAGGTACATTTTTGCTTCACTCAAACCCCTTCTTCCTTATGGAGGGGATTGCGCAGCAGTCACGGGTGCATTCAGAAAAGAAGTCGCCAGACGAAGCCCAAACGAACGCGAAAGATACCGATGAAGAAAAAAATTGCCCCCTCCGGTAATTATAGAATTTCGTCTATTCATACTTAATTACGCGAGCATTAGCGTGACAAGGCCGAAGTTTCCAGGCTGCGGGCGGTAGGGTGATATTTCTGCGGTTGGTTCATTCATACTTTTTGGACAACAAGGGTACTGCCGAGGTTCTCCTCATTCAAAGAGTTTAACTCAAATGCCCAAACGCAAAGTAACAATGATCTGAAATTACAACCAGAGTCTATATTTTCCATCCTTAACCTCGAGTACCAAGATACTGGGTTTGGCTAACCAAGTGGGGTTGTAATCCCCAGAGGCTTTAACTCATGGACTAGCTTGCTCCGATACATCGTAAATCCTCTGATCAGGGGACTGGTCAGCCGATACGCAATCGATTCATATAAACACACTACGCCAGTTCTGATGTTAAAACCACGCTTGGTTTGAAAATTTTTCTCCAATTTTTAAGTGTTTTTGTGTGAAAGTGAATTTCAGGCGTCAATTTCCGTTTTATCATGACTGTGCAATCAATTTAATGCCAGAAACGTGCGATTTCGTAGCAGCGAAAATTCAGCTGCAAGTAACGAAGTAGGTGTTCCAGGCACAAGCGATTTTATCAGATTTTCTCATTAAATCCGAAGACTAGACCTCGGTCCAGTTCAATGTCTGCTTTCCTCCTGGTATGAACGTTCCATTTTCGGTAGTTTTATCTTATCTAACCGTTTGGGGTTATTCGCGGAATACAAACTCCAGACACTCGTGATTCGTCTCACTTTGAGTTTCTTCTGCGCTGGTAGTTTCATGTTTGAATAGACCTGTAAGGGAAGCTCCCGTTCAGCTTCACATCACTCTCGTTTGAACAGTCGTCCTCTTGTCCTGGCGCAATTATTCTGGTGAATCCACACCAAGGGAGGGATCACTGAACTCGAGTTTCGCTCTTGCTAGAGCTCATCAGCAGTGCATATCCAATGGCTCTCTTGTGCTACCAATTCACAACATCAGTGGTTGGATTCGACATGCGTCCAACTAGCAAGGTACTTGGAGTGATGGTAATAGCTCAGCTGAGTCCTTGGCAGAGCGGCCACCAAAAATAAATTGAGTGTATTGAACGCACAAAAACAAAAACTCGCGTACAGGGTTTGATAGTTACAATATGTCCAACAGTAACATTTTGGAAATTTTATGCCTTCTGGACACACCAGCGGCAACCGAGCATTGTTAGCTGTTAGGTCCATATTTTTCAACCAATCAGAGCTCGCGTGGGTGCTGGACTAGCCAGCAGCCGATCTTTTGACCAATCACGTGCCGATTCGGCTTATTGACGGTTGCGACACCAAGCTGTGAGTGGTACCGAGATTCTGCCGTATGATTCCGTCTCACGTTATTCATCGTGATGCAACCAGCCAGATTCTTCGCATGGTATAGGCACCGACACGTGTTTTCCACCTATTCAACTCATAGCGCAAGTCAAATTCACTGTAACATCTCATGGGTCAGTGCCAACGAGGTCACACGCCTTAGTGGCTGAATTCGACACCTCACAGTCCGGGTGACGAACTATCTTGCTCAGGAGTCGGCCCAGTGAAACGGAGAACCAACAAGCTTACGCATACGATCGGTTGGACCAGAACCCATGAGATTGTCAAGTTCCACATTGGTGATCTGACTGTGTAACAAATTCACAGGTTGATCAACTACTTTTCCGCTTTTGAGAGTCGCTAGCCGCTTAGCGATCACAAAAGAAGGTCGCTAAACGAACAGATTTTGGAGCTGCCGTATTAATCGAAAATTCGTTCGGCTGTGCACGATGAGAAGAATACAGTTACCTGAATTTCGTGAGCGGGGCAGCTCAAGTCAGTATTTTGATAAACGGAACAACCTTGTTAGCTAATCACAAATATTAGCGCTATTCGCTACTTATTCATGCCATTTTTCGCCTTTTCTTCTATTCACGTGCTAGGTTCAGTTTGCTGACCGGTGTTTTTTCTCAGGTTCCGTAGCTTTTTATCGAGTAATCAGCAGAACCACCACCGCACAAGTGTTGCTCTAGTGCAAGGAACTCATGATGTATGTAAGGGAATCTTCATCGTGAAAATATGGAGGAACCGCGTCCGCCAAACGGAGGTATCTAACCCCCAGCTACTCACCTCAGTCAGTTTGAATATGAAGGAACCGCGTCCGCCAAACGGACGCTGAGATGTCTAACCCCCAGCTGCTCACCTCAGTCAGTCTAGATAGAAACGCTTCGGACATAGATGTGTAGATAGATCTGTAATTGACAGCATTTCAGAGAAGGTTATGCGGTTCCTACCCTGGTTGGTGGATCGCATCGATTGTACCATTACCCGTAACTGCCCTCATATCCTTCTAGTAGAGGGGAGTTTGGCTGATGACGTCGAATTATCGTTGTTATCTTCTGAGGCGTTGGGCACACCAGTCACGTCACTCACGCGTGAACGCATTCCCCCGTTCAATTGAATCCAGTTTACGCCGCTGATAACACATTCGTGCTGATAACACACTCGCCTCGCATGTCAGGTGTTCGGAGTTCAACTACCAGCACGGCCAAAAATATGCACTGCTGATTGACTCTCATCAGAGCGGAACTCCACCCCCTCTTTAGTATGTGCTCACCAGAATAATTGCTTCACAACAAACGGTAGAAATGTGAATTCTACAAATCCTGTGACCACCTCCAATGATTATTGTCCAGTTGAACATTCGTTCCCCATGCCGCTTTTTCTTGTTTATTCGATTTTGACGTTTGTTTGAAATCGATTTAAAGATCCCAGCATGCCTCTCGGTGTCTGTTGTACGTAACCATTCTACCTATGTTTCCGACTTTTTTCTTCTATCTTACCTTGGGTACCGCATTTTTCCTAATGGTCTTGTTCCGCTAAAGGTCTCCCAAGTTTCTGTGATTCTTTCCGTCATCTTCACTCCAGATCGTTGTCAATTGTTTCGTTTGTTCTCTTTCAGAGGACTTGTACTGCGCCTCCCGCAAAGTGACCTGCAAGCTCATAACAACATGCTATCCTCTGGTTTCGGCAAAATTTCAAACGGATCTCAAGTAGTACGTTGATGTGGCGTTCGGTTTTTCGTATTTGTTTCCGAGACGATTGATTCCACATATACTTTATCTGTTTCATAAGGCGTAGGGGAACTTTCGATTTGCCCGCTTGATCTCTATTTAAAATGTTTGAACCCCGAGATAGTTCAGTGTTTAATGCGCGAGCTTACTGACCGGAAGGTCTGTGGTTCGAACCCGGCTTGGGTGCTATCCCAGCCCTCGTCCTTCGGGTGCACTGGCAGCCACGTATCGAAAGGGTGTTACAGCTGAACGACTATTATTGTCAGTGGTGGTGACTGGATCTCCTCCATGCGACTTTTAGGCAAGACACACTTGATCTGCATGCCCGGTGACACCTCTCACGGGCGCATCCTAAAGAGAGAGGTACTCTACACGAGTCGTGAAGATTTTCCCAAAAATAGCCGTGTCATCAAAGTTGGGGTGTGGTCATTGCACAGCAATCTGATTCTCTGATGACCCCTGGGTTTCGGTCCTATTCTGTCGCACTCGATATCGTCCCACATAAAATTTCTACATCTTGAACTGTATTTTCAAATCCGCTCTGAGTGTATTCTCATATCGTCTATTTCTGGTGTGCTGCACGCAGGTTTTTTGGTGCAGTTTGTCCATCCAGTTACAGTGACATAATGCTTCGCTGCCGTACAACCATGTTAGTTTATTTCAATAAAACTCTATAACGGGTAGAGGAAGGAAATGGGGCAGGGACGGCGGCCTAGGGTTAGCCTACCACAAACACCCGAGTTGCATGCATCTCCAACACTCAATCAGGCAATCTGGATAGATACTGAAAGCGTGAACGTCACAGACACAGGTTGGGTGCTGTATCGTCCAGTCTCCCCATCCAAACTCAGTAAAATCCTTCATCCCTCCTTCATCCTTCATTCCATTGTGCGATGTCACCTTCTGTTCACCTCTAGGTTTTTGTCACTAAGAATTAGAGACGAAAAACGCTTCTCTTCTCAGTAAGCTGTGGCCCAGCCACTTTGGCCCGCAGTGCTGGATGCACTCCTGATCACGTCGTTCAGAATCCCCTCATCAATCGATCGGTGCCTAACCGCCATACTACCCGAAGGAAGTACTAGGGCTGGAATACTGCGAGGTTGACCAGGCCTAGACAGGGGATGTCGAGAGTCAGAGGTCGAGTTCGAACCACTGGTCCATCTCGCCCCTGATTCCAGCCAATCGCGGCTATAGTTCCGGGACATTGGTTGTCAAAGACCTGCGTATATTCCACGTCCTTTGCCCGAAATGGCCTAGTCTAGCACTCACACGACAGTACAGTCCGATATACGCGTCCTTTGCGACCCAGTCGTATGCCTTTTCGATGCTACAACTGGGGCGAATGAGCAAACGCAATTTCGGTCTTCGAGATTCATGCTCTGTGCCACTTGTGGCTTCACTGCTTCACCAATGCCAGAACGAGCATGTCGTGACTGCCTAGCACGCCTAAGCGCACATTGGTTGCCTGTAGCGAGTACTCAATGCAGTTTCGGTGATCGTTTACACAACTTCTACTGATACAAAAATCGTCAGCTGTCTATTTGAAACCTGCTGTTTTGTAAAGAATCAGTAAAATATTCAATGTAACTGCCCTCTGAAAAGAGAAACCACTCCCGACAGGTCGTTTGACGTGATCTTGTCAAAATGACGGGAGTCATGTAGTGAGTCCTCGGTTGGGCTAGCGGCAACGCCAATTCTTACTTCACAATGAGAAAGCCTACTGGATAAAAATGGCTGAAACGTGGTGTTTTAGCAACCCGACCAATGATATTCTTTTCGAGAATTCGCTAGCTTGTGAATCGCATACCCACTGTGCCCAGAATGCAGATCATTGCGGACCAGTTCCTGCAACGACGAGGGAATCAACCGCTGTTCACTGTTGTAGAATATACCATCAGGTTGAACGCACAGTTCTTCCGGCTGGTTCCAACTCACAAGTGGCCAGCACTTCCACAACCCCTGAATACTGAGGTGGCCAAATGAACAAAAATGACATGACTCTTGGTTAATTAACCCTCCAATGTAGCCAGCTTTTTGCGACGTCGGACCACGTAATGGCAAATTTATTTCGCCAATGCGCCTAATTCATAATTCCACTCCGTTTGTGCTTCCGCTTTTCAGTATAATCCGTTCAAAGTTGTTCTTAAATATTCAGACATTTGACCTGGTTAGCGCTGTGCGCCAATTGGTTGCAGTGTCTTGTTCGTCACGGTACGTTGTGCCGTGGGTGATTCGAATCAATACGGTTGAAGTTTGCTCGCCCTACACCGAATATATTCAGTCTCTGAGTAGAGCTGAATTCTGTGCTCACTTGTGTCGAATCCAGTCGTCGACATGACCTATCCTGGCAGCCACTGTGCTAGGCTCACCACGTTCTGAACTCGCAGGGTTTTTCAACGTCTGAGGTAACTTTTTGGTCTTATGGCTCTTCTAAGTTGGATTCCAGTGTTTCTGAAACTACACTGAACACATTTGTCAAACATTCTACCGTTTGGAAAGAATTCTTTCAGTTGATTGGCATGGAAAATACAACCCGACAATGTTTTGTTGTTGTTCTTGAAAGCTCTAGTTCACACACAAACCCGGAGAGGATATTGAAATCTATCCAATTCATTTTGGCAATAGGTTAAGTGATTAATTAATCACGATTAGCAGTATTGTTCACACTTACGGACACACGTGCTCGATTGGTTCCCCACAAGCCACCGTTTACGGCAATGTGAACAGTTCACACGTTGGTTTTCAACTTTATTGGAGCCGATTCTCCCGGTACCACTTGAATGTTTTCGTTTCAAAGAGACAACTCATGCGACTCGTCACAAACGGTCTCGGAAGTGCAGTAGGTCCTCTTGATCGAGTATAATTCCGAATGGCTCTTATCACTCTATCAAGCCTTCGGTCATTTCCGTTATTTTGTCAACGTCGTTTGAATCGCCTTACTTGATCTTGCCCTCCAACCCGAATTTGGACTAGGGTAAACCGAGAAGCTAGCCATGAATGAATGACTCGGAAGAAGGGAGGTACCAAAAAGTCCTGATGCTGTTGGTACTACTGGTGCTCCAAGGCGAGATCAACGTGACGCTTGGTAAGACCTCTATGAGGCATTGCGACAAACCGAGGTCAATACGATTTTCCCTATTTACTTTTGTTTCGATCGGCTCTGACTGAGTGCACCCCGGGAGTTTGTGACTCATCCTCTCGGACGTTCCGAAAAGCACTGATAAGATAAATAAAATGAATCGTTCAGCTGTATCACCCTTTCGGTGCCTAACTACCATGCCGCCAGAAGGAATCACGAGGGCTGGGATACTGCCGGGTTTCCCAAGCCTAGACAGGGGAAGTCGAGAGGCAGAGGTCGGGTTCGAACCACGAACCTTCCGGTCAGCGCTCTAACCACTGCTGCTTCTGTCATTTGTGATAAGTGTTAGTAGTATGAGGAGATTTGAAAATTTTCAATGGAGATTTCATCCTGTAAATCGACCTATGCTGAATAGCCAAGATACACCATATAGCTGCTTCATTCTTATTGGGAGTCATCAATCTGAAGTAACTTAGAGTGTACATTTCATCTGAGAATCCAATCAACGCTTGATCACTTCATCTTAATTCCGTGACTGAAGGACGAGTGGTTCTATGTGCTAAGTGCGAGTTAATCACACTGCTCCTCAGCCGCTCTTGGCTGAGCCATAACGTGCTCAACTACCAGCTGAGAGGGCGCGGGTTCGCAGTTCCCTGGAGTTTCGTGAAGTGATTCCTAAAGCTGAAACACCTGTGCAACGCTTCTCGGCTTTTCCGCTTAAATCTGCTTCGGTTGTATCGCGAGATCTCAATTGAAACTGGTACTAGTTACTTAGTTTTCCAAAACGAATGGGCTGCGAGCGCACACCGACATTCGTGCGAAAGCTGAGCGATCTGGGTGTGTCGCACCCTTTTCGAATTCCTTGTTTCATCCTCCAGTCTCACATTGACTGAGTCAATGTACTCATAATAGCTTGATCACTGCTAAGTATCATAATATGTCAGCACTTTCGCCGTCGTACTGTCTTCTTTGTACACACTAAAACCGCTGTTTGCTTTCCCGACTGATAACTCCTCGATGTCATCTGCTGCATTTGTGGGCAAAGTTTGTAGTCACAGTGGTATCCGAACGGCACTGAGTCCAGATTCTTCTCAGTGCAACTCATTCATTTTTTTCTGTACAGGTCAGCTGTGGATATCCTTTCCCCTCGTTAATCACTCTCTAAACAAATCGATCACAGTTTTAGACTTAAAAAAAGTGTCCAGCTGTAGCACCCTTTTGGTGCCTAGCTGCCATGCCACCCGAAGGAAGCACGAGGGCTGGGATACTAACAGGTTGCCCAAGCCTAGACAGGGGAAGTCGAGTGGCGGAGGTCGGATTGGAACCACGGACCTTCCGGTCAGTAAATTCGCGCTCTGACCACTTGGGCCATCTCGTCCCCAGTTCTAGACTTGCTATCCTGTTAATCTGACTCCATGTACCTTATAGTCTACCCAGACCATATTGATCATGCTCTAGATAATTCAGATGATTAAAGCAACCCATAGCATATAGGCTGTAACCTGTGATGAAACAAGTGCATCATTTAAAAAACGGTTCAGTTCCGCGTGCAAGTGATTAGAGCGTGAATTTACTAACCGAAACGTCCGTGGTTCGAACCCGACCTTCACCTCTCGTCTTGCCCTGTCTGGGCTTGGACAACCTGGCAGTATCCTAGCCCTCGTGCTTCCTTCGGGTGGCATGGCAGCTAGGCACTGGAAGGGTACTACAGCGGAACTCACCATCTGCCGGTTGACCCTACCCCGTGAATTTCAATCATATTCGAGTATTCACCTCTCAAGTTTTTTTCGCAGCACAGAACTAGTCGTCATGTGTGAAAATTCGATCAATAATGTCGATGTGTTCGAGCTTATCTGGTCATATCTAGAAAATTCGGGTGACGAGAATCGAGCGAGTGTTGTTTCTTGAATGGATTCATCCTAAAGCGTCCTCTCTTATCAGGGGAATCGATATGCCACACCCCTGGTTCTTGCATCCTTTCAATACATTTCCATATACTGAACCTAAAGCACACTCTTCCAACGTCGTCATAGAACCTGTCCAGTGGCAATCTGCACACATGTTTCGCACCACCATATGTGATGATCAACGAATTCTAACGAGAACAGGATTTGTCATTTATCTGGAATCATACTTGCGCCACCTGATACACAACATCCGGTTCCTTGTTCCTATGATGACTTAGTTGTTCTTCTTCTGACCAATCAGAGTACGTCAGATAATAATCGATGGATGCAATGGTGGGCACCTTCGTCCAAGTGACGCACGCACAAACACACGCCAGTAACGTGCAATCCTAAAAATCCTCTCGGATCTTTATGTACGCTTCAACTGGTGCACCAGTTTCTCTGCTAGTCATTCCCCCCAAATTCTCTCCTCGTATTCTTGTTGGTATTAGTACACAGCTGCTTCTGCTCCATGGTTTTTCTCTTAGATCTCTGTTTTAAAGTCGTCCCAAGTGGTGGTTAAAGTTTCCTTTCTCGTTTCTCCAACAGCCGAATCTTCCATCTGGCCGATAGTGATGATGAAGTGCCTTTGGTTCGTGCGGCTGCCGTGCAACAGCTGGTCGACCTGTCCAAACTGATTGGATCCGAATTGAAAACGGAACTTTGCCTACTACTCACAAGGTCAGCATCGAGTTTGTTGTTTTTTCGGTGTATTTGTACATCCGTGCCTTTTTCAGCCACCGCGTACCAACTAAGGGTGTTTCGACTGTCCGTCATGTCTAATCTAGGTGTCGACTGACTGTCTACTCTTTCAGTCACGATTTTAAAGGCATTCTCAGCTGTTTCACCTGTCTTATGCTCTATTCGAAGGAGGAGTTTTACTGCAATACCAAAGTGCTATAATATACGCATGACAATAATTACTCTCCTCATTCGCCAATTCATTCTCCGGAGGACAACCGTAGCCCAGCACTATCGATCGAAGTAGGCCCATGAACTCTCCGATGGCAACCAACACAAATCTGGCAATGGATGATTCATGGTAGCGTATAGGAAGAGATAAAGGTAGAACGTTTGAAATGGTCTTTATCGGTTCTCCCACGCAACCAAACGAACACTGGGTATTTTCAAGACCAGGTACCCCCATTGATGCCAGAAATCCGTACCGGTGCTTAGTGTCTATGATGACGCATGCTGGTCACTGAAACGCCAAATAATGAAGAATCAGCAAGAACAGGGTACCCAACTCCAAGCGATGAACGCGTTTGTCATTGATAGATGGTCTGTGAAGCTGCACAGTCTCTGGGGGCGAGATGACCCGAGTGGTTAGAGCGCGAATTTACTGACCGGAAAATCCATGTTTCAAACCCGACCTCTCCCTCTCGACTTGCCCTGTCTGAGTTTGGGCAACCTGGCAGTATCTCAGCCCCCTTCTTCCTTTCGGTGGCATGGCATTTGGGCAGTCCCTGGTGTTGCGATCGGTTGCAGAACAACCGATTGCCACGTTCCACTCCGCTCCCTAGGAACGCACTGGTGATGTCACCTCGATTGGTGATGAAACGTTTGCAGTCAAATTGACCAGCTCAGTGAACAAACCAACGACCAACACAAAAACCTGAAAGATTATTATTCCACGTCCACCGTTGGATCGTTTTGGTTATTACATTGCTTTCGAAGTATGAGTTTTTGATGCGCTTCTCTCTCTCTCTCCGTCTTTTTTCTCATCAGCCTCGTTTCGGATAATCAGCGTGTCGTTCGGGCGGCTTGTGTTGGTCCCTTGGTCGAACTGGGTCGCATGGTCACCGATCCAAACGAGTTTGACTCTGCGGTTCGCCCATGCATAGACAAACTTGCGAGCGACACGACCAGGTTTGTCCTTTCCTGCTTACACAACCTTTCGGTTTCCGTTTGTCGTTTGTTATTCTAGACCGGAAAAGCACGTCAATTATGCGTGGAATTGACAATGGGCATGAAAAGGAAGCCACTTTCTGACTGACTTGCGTATGGTTTTCTCATTTGGTCACATTTCTTTCAACGGCTTGCTGTTATGAGAGCAAGCCCTAGATATGAGAACCAATTCAGAACTGCGCCAGTTGGAATACTTGATCAGTGTGGAAGTGGAGAGGCAAAAACACACAAGATTCATACCACACTGACGTACTATGGAGACGTATTCTTTGAGTAAACAAGCCAGTCGTCAGAACACTGCCTTACACTTAGCGTGGACACAGCCGACTGTGGAAATCTCTGTCCAGAACGAAATGGTGCTGCGTATGAACAGACATCCGTCCAGATCCGTAAGACTTGAACCTCACTCGTAGTTTGGGTGCGGTTTCACAGTCATGAAGAGTACTGGCACCCCTTCAGGTCAATGAAAATTACGGATTACTCACGTAACAGGTAGTCAGCCGTCCAGAGATATTAGGTGTCCTACAAGTAACACTTAGGGACTTTGATATGTGGAATATTCTTTCCTCTGGAACACATTTAGTTGAAGACTGTTCTAGACGAGAGACTCAGGTCACTCGTCAACACCATTTCCAACACCCCCCCGTCGTATCTGACGTCAGTCTGCTATGCGGTTGAATGGGGCATAACGGACCTAAGTGACCTCGTCAGTATTTGTCTTGTTTGTGCTTCCGATGTGACAGTCTGTCTGTGTCCTTGCGATCTGCTGCTGCATTATTGCAGTTCTTTTGACATGGTCAACCGAGTCTGAGCCTTTTTACCAGGAAAAATGTGGTTTCCTACCGCTTTTTGTCACCTTCGCAAGCTATGAATTGGCAATTCACTCACTGGGAGCCCAATGAGAACTTGCTTTTACACTCACTAGTCAAGTGTGAAAGTTTGGAGCATATCCGATGCACCGTTTCCCAGTGAATCAAAACGGTTGCTCCAGCCTCTTCTGTCATCCTGTTATGATGGTCTAGTCAACTTAAATAATTGACAACTTGAGTTCCGGTTTAGAATCCTTCCGTACGGCTTGTTCTAGTTGAAAATCACATTCACTGAAACTGAAGGAAGTACTGTCGTGATTTCTACCTTTTAAAAAAGCGCCTATAGTTTTATTAAAACACGATGAATATCTTACTGCTGATTGTTATTTGCTCCATATCCTGTACCAAATGAACGCGTTGCAGATCAGAACTGATCATGGCTGTTGGGGGATGTCTTACAATCCAGCACGTTGGAAAGATCACTGCCCAGAGTGACCATATCTATGTTTTTTTTTCTGTGGCGCGTGGCCGTTGTCTCAGAACCATAGCTCGTGTGGGTTGATGTCGGCGAATCCGTAATGAGGCAGTTAGAAAGCGCGTTTTCGGTTGTGCAACGGGTACTTCCATTGAAGAATGTGTCCAGCACCAGAAGCTGCGTTGGTTGGGACATGTG